CGTACGGGAAAGATTGCATAAGGCTTATCAGAGAAATGCATCATCATATAATCTCAGGAAAAGAGATCACATATTTCAAGAAGGTGAAAAAGTTTGGAGAAGAAATAAGATTCTCTCCGATGCTAGTGTGAAATTTACTGCCAAGTTAGCACCGAAGTACGTTTTGAGTACAGTGGTGAGGCGAGTATCGCGTTTAGTATACTCTCTTAATAATGTGGACGGTTCCCCAGCGGGAGACTGGCACATTAAAGATTTGAAACAATATTTTGGTTCCAATTCAGATGTTTCTGTTGGATAGATATGCTAGTTCAGACCATAATGATTCGATTTGTCTATAATATCAATTTATATGCGGTCCTGAACAGAAATTAGTATTGTTGTTTCTAGTTGTGAAGTCAACATATTATTTTTGGTGCGATAGAGCACATATCATTTTTGTTGCAACGGTGCACATATGATAATTTTTGGTGCGGTAGTGCACATTTTTGGGAATAACTATTTTGGACTTAGTTCATATATATAGTCTGTACAGTTGAGATTTTATGTTCTCCTAAAAAGTATGCATACGTATTTTTGGGTACCTAATTTGCATTTTTTTAAATATATGGTGTTGAATTTTTTTGATTTTCAGAAGGTCTGATCAACCTGTCTCGCAAAATTGCCTTAGTAAATATTTTTTTGTATGATAGTGTAAATAAGTTTTTCTCAGCCCCAAAAGTAAATCATATAGAAAAGCATATAATGCAAATGGATAAAATTTTCAGAGTTGAACTTGAACCCTGATTAGGTATTACCTAAAACAATTTTTATTAATTGTACTGATTCGGACATTTACCCGATTTTGACAGTTAACCAATGGTTGACATTTACCATATTTTTGACATTTACCAAATTTTGACATTTACGATTTATGACTTCCATTCAAGGAACGTTTGGTACACGTAGTTACTACAGTCCAATATATATATGAGTTTACTGAACATTAGAAAAAATATATCAACTTGTTGACCTATTTTTTCTCTTGGCAGAGGGGTATATGTAGCAGTTGAAATTGCTACAATAAGTTTTTAGTTTATCATCTATTTTTTTGTTTATTTTTACCTGGTGTATATAAGTAGTCTGGTGAGAAAATACATACTTACAGAGAACACTCAGTCATTAGATAACAGTCGATAAATCAGATCTTCATCTTTATTACAAAATAAAAACAAATACAGCTGATTCCAGTAAACATATTATCCATTCAGATTATTTTCCCTGAGGCTCAGCATACCTGTAGGAAGTGATGATTTTAGCTTCGGCTTCGTTCTCTGATCCAATGAACAGGTCCTGAAATTTAGGGAAAATAATATAATATAGATCTACTTTGAGCTAGATTAAATGACTTACCTGTGATGTTCCTCGGAGTGATGGTACCATTATGGACTCAGGGGCTTCTTTCAGTTCAGAGTGGTCGTTCGATATTTGTTTGTTTTCTTTACTTTTCTAGGACTCTTTTGTGGTTAAGTATGTCCTATTCTCACTCTAGCGTGGAACTACGGTCGTCGTGAGCATCAATAGTCTTCGCAACTTGCAGTAAAAAGGAGAAGAAGAAGAAGCGTTCATCAACCCTGGCTGCTTATTTACATCATGTTTTCTTTAAGGAAAAAGAAGAATGAGAATACTCTTCTGTCTTTGGTTCCTATTTCATTTAGGTTTATTTGAACTATTCGTTCCCAGCTTTTATCTCGACCAATAGGATGCGAGAAAATTATTTTTCTCGGATTTTTGCTGTTTCGTGAGAGGTCGGTGTTAAGGGTGGGGGAATAGGGACTGGTCGAGGAAGATTTCCTTTGGGAAGCTCTCTTCTCGGGCAGCCATGATGACGACTTGAGCCATTAAGTTTGGTGGTGATATTTTTGATCACTTGGTGAAAACCGGTGAAATATCAAGTTTTGTTCTATAACGTTTTCAACGCTAAGCGTAATCATCACCAACTTAAAGATTTGAGAGCTGATGGTTGTTCGCTGCTTTTGGAGCCGCCTGGTAGTGACGCCACGTGCCAGCTAAGATGTTTGGCCCTCCTTCAACCCTTCTCAGAAGGTGAGTAATTTTTCATTGATTGTTAGTTGTGAGAATTTTTTGGTGCCACGGTTCGTCCACAAAGTTAGAGCTACAGGACGTATTTTTTTATACACTAGGGTGCTAGGATGTGCCTAGGGCACTAGTGGTTTATGACCTGCCACTGATCTCCTGCGCTGTGTTTCGCCGTCACGTCGGGAGGAATACCCAGGACGAGGGGCTACGGAACTCAGCATACAGATCGGAGGGGGCTCTTTTCGTTCTTCCCTTTTCACTGCAGCTAATCCGCTGAGTTGCATGCTGCCGTCACGCCGGGAGGAATACCCAGGAGGAGAGGCGTCAGGGTCCAGCCCAGTGGATTAGTGGAAGCACCACCTTTCTTCGCTGGACTTCTGGACCGACTGCTGTTAGCACGCCAGGAGGAATACCGAGGAGCAGGGGTTGCAGCATTTGGCCCAGCAGTTCAGCCCCCATCTCATCTTCATCGCAGACCATCATCATCGCTGACCATCATCATCGCAGACCATCTTCGCAGTCACCTACTGCCACATCATCACCAGAGCGGACCGTGATAGGGGTGATATGGACCTCTGGAGAGGACCTTCCCCCTATTGTTGACCAGGTTTTTGTTAGGGACATTTAAAATCTCAAAATTAATAGATTCAACCATTTTCTAGTGTAAAACTCCCTGTGAAGCTTCACCATGGTACCATGAGACAGCGGTCTCAGTTTTACAATTTTTGATGATTTTTTGCTTAACAAATCCATAGAATATTGACCATTTCCCCATGTATTTAATTTTTAAATATCTAGAAATTATCACTATTTATTTGACTCAGTTGAAATTGGTTAGGATGTCCTCTACAGCGGTCTGAATGTGCCTTGTCTGGCTCTGGTGAAGAATAAATAGGTTGCAGGAATATTTTTGTTTCATTCCACTGTCTGTCCCGCTTGAATATTTCAGGAACACAAATTCGTTTCAATATTTCAGGAATATCTTTTTTAAGCATATTTTCTAGAGCATATTTTGTATAGCATATTTCTGGCATTTGTTGTGAAGTATTTTGTTATATCAGATCAAAGTATTTGGTTTTCTCAATTATCCAAATCAATTCACAATTTGATATTAAATTGAGTGGCGTCCAAAAATAACTCGAAAATCAATCTCGAATCCACATCAACTGTTCTCTGGCGAAAAGCAGCCGTTCGCATATGTACTTAATTTTCTTTTAAATTCAAATTGATTGAAATTTACGTGATCAGAAAGATAGGTTACAAGATCATAAGCAGCTGACTGGAAGTGGAATTGCTCCTGGCCCGAAACAGAAAACCAAGTTTTTGGGATGAACTTTCAGCAATTGATTTCCTAAGAAGGGTTTCTGCTGATAGTAATACCAAGCATCGAAATGGATGCCTTCAAAGGTATGGTTACTCCTGACAAGCTTATGTTGGGCAGCTTTTCTAGAGAAATGGCATGCTTGTGTTCTGCTTGCATGGAAATCTATCAAGTTATTGGATCTTCATTCGAGAATTGTTGCCAAGTCCATATTTTTGTTGTCGATATTTCATCCTCGTTCGTTTCTCATTTGCCTGGCTGGTATTGGAGTCCTAGAAGAGAAGGCGGTATGGAGGGTACTATCATCCGCGAAGCTGTGTACTGGACATGATGTTGCTTCCAACAAATCGTTGATATGGAGTAGAAATAGTGTTGGTGCTAGAATTGATCCTTGTGGAACACCAGCATTTATGATAAGAGAGTCAGATGAAACTCCGTCGACCACTACATGGAGAGAAAACTAGCTAGCAGAGAACATAGCTGGGGAGGCAAGCCATAAGATGGAAGCTTGGCGAGGAGTCCGTGGTGCCAGACTCGATCGAATGCCTTGGAGATATCAAGTACCACGGCTAAGGTTTCACCATATTATTCAAAACATTGTTGCCATATATGTGAGACGTAAGCGAGCAGATAATACCTTAATTGTCTGGGTATTTCATAAGCTCGATGTACTAAACTACTTGTATATCAGGTTACTTCACCCTCGAACTCGCGAATCGTAGGTATTTCCTCTTTCCAAACCCTTCAAAACCCATGGAAATGTATTCTTGCTTTTTGCTTACTCTTCTCGACATCTATAGCCAGAACTGCAAATCCCTAACCTTGATCAAGTTGAATCCTAGAATGCTTCTTGATTTCAGATAACATTACCAGGTATGTCTCAATCTGCAGCGTTCAATATTTGATTCAAAAGCCTTATGACCCGTCTAGAACAAAATATTTTCCATAAACCAATATTGAGACCCAACGCTCGTTGATCGAGCGACACTACACCATAGTTCTGGCTTTCTTCAATGGTGGTAGAGTTAAAGTTACTAGTAGAGAAACATATAGATACTATAAGAGGTGAAGGTACTGACAGAGAAAGATAATGATTCAGAGGTGGAAGTAGATGCATCAGCACAGGTGTAAGTCGACTCAAAACATGGCAAAACGAACATATTGTTCGAAGGGAATATCATCTCGATCATAGGTCCACACATATTTTGCCTGATTCTCAGATTATTGCCAGTGAACCAATAACTCCTTACGATTTGTAGGTATGATTATCGAACATCAACTTGTGTTGATGTTGTTCGATTGTATAATTTTGGTCGACGACCGGTTGCTTGAGGAAGATCTGGCTATTCGGTCGGTGAGGTCCAATAACTCTGTTGAATCTCAACGTGTTGAGTAATGAGAGTCTGGCACTGCCAGAGATATTGGAAGTGCTAGTATTCGACATATAAATAGAAGTAGACACAGTGAAACAGGTACAGAGCACAAGAAAAGATGAAGCTAGATGTGAGAGTTGAGTATGTATAGGGTATAGGTAAAGATGGAGGTAGATTCCATTAGTGAAATATTTGGTTTCACCGTGTTACGGAGAATAAACTGAACTTACCGTTGATCAGTATGATTCAGCAAAAAGTACCCCAATGGCGTGAACCCGACCAGAGACGAGTATGCCCAAAACACCACTATGTACCGCTCCACCGCCGAATGCGTGATCAAATTGTTGTACCTCAATGGTCTGGCCAAGGAAGTGAACCGATCCACCGCTATCGCCACCATGACCAGCACCGACACACAGCACAGCGATATGGCAACGCCGTAGCTGAAGAGGCATACGCGTATGCTGGTGAAGTCCTGAGCACCTCCCAATTCCAAGTACATGCCTACAGGCATGAACATGCCTATGCCGAGGTCACTGGTAGCCAGCGAGATGAACAGGTAGTTACTGGGCGTGCGCAGGCGCTTGAAACGGTACATCGCCACGAGGAACAGCGAGTTGCCGATGAGGATCATCGGAGAGAAGAGGAACACGAGCAGCACGGCTATGGTGACGGCTAACGGCGAGCTCAGTCTGGAGACGGTCCTGGTGACGTTGACGTCGCTGTCGGATAGGTTGTCGATAGCGAGGTGGGCGTGGTTTGTACTGAACAGGGCCAATTGGCTGTTGTTGAGGAGGAAAGCTTCCATGGAGACATTGAAGTGAGTTGGTGAGGGCAGTTACGTTGGCGATGAGGTTGGCGTTGATATGGCACGGTTGGGATCGTCGCTTTGTGCGATGATTGTTGGTCTTATCTGGAAAAAAAATGAAGGATTGGTCAATGTCCTACTTAGAAATGGCTCACCACCCAATTGTTGAGAAAATGTTCACCACCCGATTGAGGCGCAGAGTTGGATGTGGTTTAATTTTGGGACCAGAAGCGAATTAGTACGGACCACGAAGCACAATTATAAACACTTAACGCCAAATTCACGCAATGCAAACCCCTTTATCGTTCAATTAGTTGTGATGGTGTGGGATATTTCGCGACTGTTGAATTTAGTGGTCCTAGTGTAACTCAATTTATATGCAGGTTTCAGGCACTCTGTGAAATTTCATTAAATTGCTGTTGGTTTATGTAGGTACTCACACCGAAGAAAAATGTTCTTAATTCAGCACGTGGGGAATGAAGGTATACACCATTTACTTGGAGTCACTTCCATGGACGAATAAGATCGGAAGAGTTTCTTTCCTAAACGCCGAGCTGCAGCTAAGTGGTTCAGATAGCGGTCAAGAATGCTATCTGGGACAGTCCTGCAATTGTTCTGTGTGTTCTGCGGGACACATAGCTAGGAAATTAGTTGTTTTTCTCTCGTTATTTACCACTTTCGTTCATTTGTGACTTTGAGTTTCTCTCTCTTCGTGAAGATTTAATATATTAATATTGATTTCATTTTTCATTTCCCATCCTTTTTTTCTTGGAATGAATGCTAACATTCGACTCCAATTGAAATAATAACAAATCATAATTATTAACAATGAAATAAATAATTGGACTCGGGATTGAAGTAACAAAATATTGCCCGTGTGCAGTACAACAGTTCTGGTTGCATTGTTTTTGTAAGCAATAAGAACTTATTGTGAAATTCAATAAACGAAGTTTCAGAATATGTTGCACAAGGTAGGAAGTACAGGATTCAAAGGGGGAGGCACAGCCCCTACTGGCCCTTCTCTATGGGCGCCCATGGTGACTTCTACAACTTTGAATGATGTTTTTTGCCATCTTCAGGAAAACTTCGAAGTGATGCTATACATAAATATATCATACCAAATCTGCTATCGAGGTACCTATAACCTAAATGTAGAGGTTGTAACAATTTTAATCCTTTCACCTTACATACAGGGTGATTAATGCGCATACAGTAAGGGTAGATTGAGGACACCGAGATGCTTCTGAATAATCTATATTTTATGGGGCTATCATCCTTTATGAATGTAGTGCGATAAACAAATATTATGATAATGTTCTTTCACATACAGAGCATTTAAAGTTAGTCATTGATAATAATAATAATTTGTTCCAATTACGGAATTGTCCTCTAGTTTTCAATTGGGTTGAGATCCAAAAATTTGGAGAATCAGAAATAGTTGATGATTTCATAGATTGAACATGTGGAAACACCAAATACATTCAGTCTCACTTCTTTTTTCCTGCCCTTGCCAAATTTGTAAATGAGATTTCAAAATATTAATATACAGGGTGTTGTTCATTCGTTACCACCGTGGACAAAGAACATACAAACCAAATATCAAAAATATATATAGGGTGGTTCATAAGGTACGATCAATTGAAAAAATTGGGAAAATTGATGATTCACTCTGTATCTTGGTTATAAAGAATGATAGACACAAAAATATAGATCATTCAGGACCACCTTAGTATCCTCCATCTACCCTCACTGTATGCGCATTTCAGAATGAATCATCCTGTATAATATTCACATACGGTATACCTGGTGGATAGAGATTCAGGTGCAAGCCTATGGAAATGTAAGGTTATGTAAATTCTCCAGAAATTGTTTCGCTTTGGTTAAAAGACATTTTGCCAAATTGGATTGTCTCCGTTAAAACCGAAAACGCTCTTCTGTCGATTTAGTGGAAACATGATAAGCGAACCTGGGAAATTATGCCAGTAAGGACTCGGGATTGGATAACTATGAGCATCTTTGCACCCTCTGAGGCTAATATTTTGAATCGTTACAGACGGCACAAAATTCATCTTCAGAGTTTTCATGTATAGGTATAAAATCATTCCATTAGCTGTATGCTGTATTCCGTTGGGGTATTCCGCAAAATCTTTACCTTCAATCAGTTCCAATCTCGACTCAATAATTAGCTTAACAGTTTCCGAAGATGTAATTCTTTTGTCAAGGTATTTTCTAGATAAGAGAAAAACTCAGTTAACTTTCGCCATCCATCATTATCCTGCTTTTCCTCGCGATTCCCAGAAGAATTTCTATTTTCCGGGACAAGGCCAAGGTGACTATAATTTTTCCCACACCACTAACTCTTCAGTCTGCCAATATATCGTTCGAGGGAGATACCAACTCCGCCATTCTCACAAATTCCTTCTTCTACTACGAACACTAATAAGAGTTGAAGCTTAAAATGGAATGAGGACGAATAATGATCGAGATATTTTGAGGTACGAGCAAAGCGATTTGAATCTTCATTTCCGAATTTGACAGAATGTAGAATAATTATTCAAATAAACATCATTATTCCAGTGATATAATTTGCAATTGTTGGTCTATTGAAAATCTGAATTTGTTATTTTGAGAAAGACGGAAGAAGCAAACCTGCACCTCTCGTGAGCTGAGGGATTCTGCCCAAACGTCTAAACAGGATATTGTTTTCGGCGTTCTAGTATGTCCCATTTAGCAAATACAGAAGGTCATTTGGTCACCATAAATGTCCATGGTGGATAGAAATCCTCAGCAGTTGCTCAAGGATACATAGGAGCTTCTGTGAACAGGAAAATTGAGGTAGCTCCAATGTTTTCTTCTCCGCCTTCAACTTCTACAGAACATTCTGATGCCACTACCTCATAGTCGCATTGCACAAACGATAACCTCAATAATCAGGCCCAACAAAACTAGCCAGAAAATTTGATGATGAATGCTCAAGATACCTGTAATGTTAAATCTAATGTATACTCATAACAATTGCACCATTCGAAGCAACAACAATTCTGCAGCACGGATTATTTGTTGCGTCCTGTCTCTAGCTAGACGCTAGTGTGTCTGACAGTTTGACGTTATCATTACCAACTTCGAAAAAAGAAATTCTGCGTGTCCTAATAGAAGCTGTGTCGATACGCATTTGGGTGTCATAATGAATTCATTAAAGACGCGAAATAGAAAATAGTTATTTAACCAACGAGTGTGTATTAATGAGGGCGATTAATGATCGAGATATTTTAACGTGCGAGCGAAGAGAGCGCGTTAATGTTCGAGATCATTAATCGCTTTTTAATATACAAGTTGGTTACAAAATTTTTCCGTCGACTATATTTCTCATTTCTCCTGCAATGAAGAAAACTTGGTTCGCGAATTCATCATTCATCTGGAAACTGCTAAGAATCACCCAGTAGCCTTTGTCACTGACATTAGTGTCATTTGACATTTGTCGAAATGATCAACATAGAAAATAAATTCCTTGTGTTAGAAAACAGGGATTAAAATCGTGTCAGAAACTTGGAAAGGTGAACCCGTTAACAGAAAATCTTCAATGAAATCGATATTTTCGATTCAAATGCAGATTCCGTAAGTTATAGCATAAACAATGAATGCACGCGGTGTATGTTTGGTTGCCTATAAAACAATCGTACATTAATAGACAAATCGTTCATTAATAGGGGTCATTAATGAACGATTTCATATACATTTAACTTAGTCGTTAATACGAGGTCGACGGAAATAGTTATTTAACCAACGAGTGTGTATTAATGAGGACCATTAATGATCGAGATATTTCAACGTGCGAGCAATGCGATGTTAGGAATCAATCAATCAACTTTATTATTCCCAAGAAACAACATTTGTTTATAGCAGGGAACATAGTGAATACATAAATATATTTGACAAAATAAAATAAAGAAGACAGTAAAATAAGACTCACACTCAAAAAGAATCTTTTTTTTTTTTTCAAGTTCAAATGAATATGATCTTCAATTGACTCAGCTGTTAGGTACACAATTGAAAACTATAGTAGTTGTACAAGAAAACTATAAAAATGAGATAAGATGTCAAAAAACAGGGATCCAAATCGGTTCAGAAACGTTAAAAGGCTAACAAGTTAACGTATTAATTCTTCTATGAATCTGATATTTTTGAGAAATTCAGATTTCATGAATTATACAGGGTGTTCCTTAAAGACATGCTGATATTCGAGGGGGTGATTCTGTCATTCATTTTAAGAGGAAAACTTCATATGAACGTATGTCCTAAAAGCCTTAACTTTCGAGATACAGGGTGATGAGACAATATTGTATTCACTTTCATGAAATTTGGTACACGTCTTTTATGCATCAAGGTGCATTTTCTGCTATACCGGGTGGACAAAAAAATGATCTATGCATATTTTCAACATTGACACCCTGTATCTGACAAGTTAGAACGTTTACGACATACGTTCATATGAAATTTCCTTTTTGAAATGGGTCGAAGAATCGGCCCCTTGAATATTAACGTATCATTAAGGAACACCCTGTATAGTGCGAACAGTGAGAGAACGCGGTGTATTTCTGGTTGTCTATACTTCAATCAAGCAGTAATAGATAAATTGATCATTAGCGATCAATTCCATTTAAACGTCAATACGAGGTCTACGGAAAATATCATTTCATTCCACCTGTGATTCACGTGATCCACTTCAAATATAATGTTAAAAAATAACCCAAGAGTGATTGAAAGAACAGTTGAGAAAAAAAAACTATTTCTCACTACCACTTTCACGTGGGAAGTATCGGTCTTTCGTTAGTCAAAAATCAATGAACTACCATCAGAAGTAGATACATTACATCATGGTTTCTGTTTTTTAGAAAATTTCGTTTGTGAGATCAAGTTGAGCATACTCGATATTCCCCCACAAATGATTCCCTTTGTTTTCTAGGCTACGGCAACCCTTTACCTCGAACAGTCACAGCTGCTGCCCTTCCTTGCTAACATACTGCCCTTTGGGACCTACAAGAGCCATGAAAATCCTGTCGTCCTGACCTTAATCCTACAGTCACGCTCAAAATGATGTAGTCCTT